GGCAGGTCTCAGAATGAGCCAGGAGGAGGTGAAGGGCTGGTCCTGGTGCACTCCCTCAGCTGCCCCTGGGGAAGTCACAGCCACAGCGGTTCCTCGTTCATTCCTCGGTGGCACCACTGCTCTGCCCCACGAGAGGTGGCTGCACGTGGCTCTTTGGGAAGCAGCTTGTGACCTCTCCCTTGCCAGTTTTAAGGAAAACTGCCCAGGTTATTCCACCTACCAATTTACTCAGCTACCAATTTAAATAATCCAATGTAGATTCCCCCCCCTTTTTTCCTGAATGTTAACATAACAGGAAAAAGGGGGCAACAGCCTGGATGTTGCAGCTGATACTGTGCTGTGCTTTTTAAACTTGACTTTGTGAACTGCAAATATAAGAGAAGCAGAATTTTTCTAATACACCTTTTTCCCCCTCTAAAATGACATCAGCATGCTTTAGGAAATCAAATATGCTGTTTTCTTCACAGCAACCTCTTGTGAGCTGAGACTGGGAGAAGTTCTGGATTCTGGCTCCCTGGGAGCTACTCATCTCTCAAAAATCTTGTAAGCCAGAACCTTGAAAAACAAATTCTAGTTTTGGGTGATGAGGTGGTGATGCAGCAGGGCCCTCCCTGCAGCATCCCTGCAGCATCCCGGCAGCTGCTGTCCAGTGAAGTTGTGTTCGGGTAACTAGCTGGGTACGTAAAAAAAGCTCCTCGGTAAATTGGGGCTTCCCCTGTTTCAAATATTCGATATGCAAAACACAAAATACCTACCTCAAAGAGCTGTTGCCATGTTTAATGTGCGATAGGAGGTTCTCAAGAGAAAGGATGTGGTGTTGTAGGTACAAAGCGTTGTGCCATTGTTTACAATTAAATATGGTTATATGTGAAACCTTTATTAGGAATTTCTAAAGGTTTGTCCCATCCCACCATTTACTGGCTTCTGTCCCAGCAGGACTGGGAAGGGCAAACACGGAGCATGTCAGCAGTGGCCACGCAGGGGCATGGATGTCAGACTAGATGGGGGGGCAGAGCTGGAATGCAGGAACTGAGTCATTTTAGCTAAACACTTTGTTGCCTTTTGGGTTTCAAAAGGGCTTGCTTTTTTTTTTCTTTTTAAACTGCTGTGGACAGGGCAGCTTAGCCTTGTGGAGGCTCTAGCCCACGAAGGCGCAGCAGTGCTGGCTGCACCAAGGGTCATGCAGCTCTGAGTGTTCCAGCTTGTCCTGAGGGTTGTTTCTGGGCTTCCTGTCCCTGCTGGGGGCAGAGACACGAGGTGAGGGAATTCTGAGTGACTGCAGTCGTGTTTGCTGCAGTGTGACGCAGCCTCATTCACTTCCATCTTATGGCTGACCCGTTTGGTTGTATCAGTTCCCTTTCAGTAACAGGAAAAAAAACCAACCAACTATAGTCCCAAGTTGATTTCTTCTTCAAAAGATTTTGAAAATGCCATAATCCACTCATCTTAAATCTGTAACACTTACTGCAGCTCAGAATTCCTGGCAGGAAGCTGCGAGCCTCCCTGTCTGCTGTGGGTTGGTGCAGTAGCCAAGGCCAGCTGTGCTAGGCAGAGGAATCTCTGATTTCAAAATGCATTTTACTAGCTCATGCTTCTTTAATCAGAAATGTTTATCCTGTGAGCCAAATAATGCAAGAAACCTTGGTATCAGATGCTTAAGGACTAAAACTGACAAGCATTTGTCAAAGATTCCTGCATGCTGTGAGCTTTAATATTCTTGAGTTTGTGATGATTCTTATACCCGATTATTTATATCTTGGAAGTCTAAATTGGATTCATGTGACATGCATTGGCTTTTAATGACATCAACATCCACTTCCAAGCTCTTAGTTACATAAATAAGTTAAATGGGCATTATTATTTTTTTTTTTTGCAAGCATGCACTTTCTCTCCCTTGCAGCCGTCTTCATTTTTATATACTGAAGTCCTGAATTTTCTCAGCCAAAAAACCCCAAACCTTCCTTAAGGGCACACTAGCAAGGTGGAGTGCTTTGTAATGTGTTACATGACAACAAATGTACTTAGTTACGGTATTTGTAGGTTCTGATAGGAGCTGTACATTTCTATATGTTGGAAATAAAAAAGCATCTCTAAAGAACGTGTCTAATTGTTTGATGCAACTGTTCAAATGGTAGTAAACTCTGGAAAATTTAAGTGTGTGTTCTGAGCTCTACCCCCAGAAATGGAGGTAAATCTTGCTTGTATTCAGTTATTCCTACTTTAATTTTTTTTCCTGTGGAACCAGAATTTTTAAATTTTCACACCACAGCAGTCTCGTACAACACCTCATCCTGCAATGTAAGCAGTTATTTAAAATAAAAAGGGTTCACAGGGTTGAATGCCCAACAGACATTAACTGGGAAAGGATTGTGTCGTCCTTCTGCAACGGACTTTTAAGAATAGAAGTTTCAGGCAGTTATCACTAATAGACTTTATTCAAGTTTCAAAGAGTCTTCTGTAAATAATAGAAAAATAGAATCTTCTGTTTACAGGTTGATTTTGACACCAAGAACGGCATAAAAATTCCATATCCTTTACAGGGAGAGATAGAGTGCATAAAAAGGTTCATATTCAGGCTCAGACAGGCGTTAAAACTCCCTTTGCAGCATTAAAGTAGCACATTCAAGGCTAGTTTTCCCTCCCATGGAAGCAAACTCCAATATTTTTTTAAAATGCATTGTGCAAGGATGTATTCTAGTAAAATGTCTGACTTCCAGCCAAGATGTTCAGGATCTTGGGTTGCTTCAGGGCAGCGGTTCCCTCGGATGAGGGAAGGGCAGTTCCAGCAGCAGGGGCCAGGCCAGGCCAGCCCTTGGCTCGGTCAGTGCCACCCAGCCCTGCCAGGCTGATGCTGCCTCTTCCCTTCCCTCCCCGAGGCGGGAGAGCTCCAGACTCCTGGGCAGAGCATGCTGGCTTCTGGCAGCTGCAAGAGAACGCAGGAATTCTTGAACCAAAAAGGCTTTTTATATTGCTGTACTGCAACAAGCCACCAGCCACATTGCTCATGGAGCACCGGTTAGACTACTTCTAGGACTAAGGATTCAGTAAGAAAACATTGGCCCTGCAGTCAAGAGCCAGGTGAAGAAAGTCAGGTGCAAGAAAGGCCCAAGACTGTGTCAGCCTTGGAGCCTACCACTGCGGCCAGGAGGAAGAATGCTGGGGTTCAGTGTGTGCTCCACCTCTTTCAACATAAGACAACTTTTTTCAGTTCTGTGATAAAAGTCTGAGCTTACCCAGGAAGGGCAGACACTACCCCATCCTTAAGCCAGTTTCCTTAAGCCTAGCTTTATGCCAGAGGCAAGTTATCTTGCATCTTAAACATACCTACCACTGCTCACGGGAGACGGGACCTTTGGAGTGCCTATGGCCTAAGTTCCTTACCCCCTTCCCTCAGGTATTGGAGGGAATCAGCCCCTTTCCTTTCCTGCTGCAGCAGTGGGGTTCCCTCATCCACCCATGGGTGACAGCTGGCCCACGGCTTGTGCCTGGCCACCTCTCATGGCAACTAATTACAGAGTCCTGTTTGCTTCAGCTAGGGCTGCAGAGGGAGGCAGGACACTGGCCGTGTTCTCAGCAGGGCAGGGCTGGGAGCAAGGGAGTCCCAGGACTGTGGTATCTTGTTGCTGCTGCTCTTGGGTCGGTCAGCAGCATCACACCAGGCCTGCCACAGCCTCTGTAACAGCCAGTGCTGTGCAGATGCACAAGGTGCAGAGTAAAGTACCTCATCTCATCCGAGATGATAAAGGAGCTCTTGGCTTTGGTCCTGAGTATCCTCTGTCTCACAAGCAGCCGATGTGGAGGTGTGAGTGGCTTCCCCATTCATCTCCCTCAGGGGGTGGTAGAGATAATCACCGCGCTCATGGAGCCTCTCCGACCTGCCCTTCAGAAAGAGGCCCACATTTCCCATGGCGCTGATCGCCAGAAGCAGAGCCAAGACAGAGGTCAGGGAGATGCAGGTTTTCCTGTCAGATGGAAGAAAAATCCACATAAGCAACATCTCCTGACCTGCTTTCACATGTTCCCAGTGTGCAAATGCTTTCTCAAGGTTTGCACTCCCTTCTCTGTCACCACAAGCTTGTGGTTGTGCTCTCAGGCAGGTGAGAACATGCTCTGTGAAAGGCTGCTCCAGCAGCCAGAGCAGGGAGATGGTTTCAGCTTTCCCCTCAGTTAACAAGTGACTGGCTGTGTCTGCAGCACGACTGTAGCTTCAGCAGTGTTGCAGAGGCCAGGCTCTGGTGTCAGAGCTGTCCTTGTCTGGCTGTTGCATCGGGGAGAGGGAAGGTGGCTCTTGTTTAACTGCGGCAGGCTCAGCACATGAACTGTCACTGATGGCGGCTCCAGCTCAGCCCGTGTCTTACCACTACGATTTTAGCCCCTTGCCTTCCCTACCCTCATCCTTCCCACCACGACAGCTGCAGGTGACACAGTGGAACCAGAACAGGGAGGGCTGGGGCCGCGCGGCACCAGCAGGTCTCCAACCTTCACCGACACAGGACCCTGGCACCCATCTCAGTGAGCAGCTGATGGCATGGACTCGGTGTGGATGTATGCACATACAGGATGAGTATTACACACTTACTCTGAAAGAGAGAATTTTTCCTTGCTTCTTCCCTTATTCTGGGAAGCCAAACAACGCCCAGCTGGAAAACAAAGAACAGGGAAGAAAGGCAGTGTCAGGGGGAGGGTGTAAAATTCCACTAAAAAAGAGCAACCTTAGGTAAGATGACAGCCAGCGAGAGCTGATAACCAAGGAAACAGAACATTATGCACTAAAGCTGCTCTTCCAACTTTTTTTTTTTTTTTTAAAAAAAAAAAAAAAAAAAAAAAAAAAAAAACAACCACAGTAATCAGAGGTACCTTTGTTTAACTGGTTCTGTACTGCCCAGTCATAGGTGATGTTGCAGCTGCCTGTCTCCCGGTCGCAGGGACACGTGTGTTCACACGCACACTGGTTCTGGCAGTTTGGCCCATACCAGCCCATGGGACACTCTAGGGAATTGATTACAAAGAAGTTGCTCATTATCAACTCATTATCAAAGCTCCACCTGCTTTGAAACCAACCAGACTGTACTGCAGCCACCTCTGGCCCCAGCTCAGCTCCACCTGCTTCCCAGTGGGTCCCAGCTCAGGGCCAGGGAGGGTGGGCAAGCTCAGAGCTTTTGTGTTGCTTTACCACAGCAGTCTCCGGCCTCGCTGCTTCCCACATGTTTTACGGTCCTGCTGTTTGGCTCCTAAGCAAAGGCAGGTGTGGGGGCAGCAGCGGCCAATTCCTAAAGGGAAGCAGCCAAGTCCCCAGGTTTCCTGCAGCCTGGCAAAGCTGTTCTGCCTGCCCACCCGGCTTCCTCCAGCCTGGAAGCAGCAAACTGAGAGTTAACCGCTGTTATTGTGTTTTCTTCACAGAGAAGATTTTGTGAAACGGGGATCAGGCTGGCTGAGTGTTCCTAGGCTGAGAACAAAGCATCACTAACCATGCAGAAAAGAAGTTTACACCCACGCTGTAATTAACTTGTCCTGTCACCAGAGCAGGCTGTTCATTCAGATACACAGGGCCTCGAGCACTTCAGAAAAGCTGGAGTGGTTACACAATTGAGTTACTAGCACAGGTACATCAGGAGTCTGAAGGCTGTGTGCCAGAACAGCCCTCTGCAGCATTTCACACTCACTGACTTGAGGAACCTGGAGGCTGGGGGACAGGCAGGGCCTGCTGCCACACCCCCAAGCAAAGGATCACAGAATAATCTGGGTTGGAAAAGCCCTTGAAGCTCCTCCAGTCCAACCATGAACCTCACACTGACTGTTCCCAACTCCACCAGATCCCTCAGCGCTGGGTCAGCCCGACTCTTCAACCCCTCCAGGGATGGGGACTCCCCCCTGCCCTGGGCAGCCCATTTCAACACCCAACAGCCCCTTCTGGAAAGAAATGCTTCCTAATATCTAGTCTAAACCCTCCCTGGCACAGCTTGAGGCCATTCCCTCTTGTCTTGTTGCTGGTTCTTTGGCTCAAGAGACTCATCCCCACCTCTGCACCCTCCTGGCAGGGAGTTGTAGAGGGCCAGGAAGTCTCCCCTCAGCCTCCTCTTCTCCAGACTAAACCCCCCAGTTCCCTCAGCTGCTCCTTGTAATACATGTCAAGTATTCACATTCTACACTAACAAGCTTGGGAAAGCAACACAGTTCTGTGGGAAGAGGTACCACAGGCATCCAGTTTTCTAATGCTGAAGAAAACTATTTGCTTCCCTCCTTTTCTTTTTAGCCAGTTTGGTTAGGACAGGCAAGCCCCTAGTGCTGGCAGGTGATGCTCCAGCCTGAGCCTGCCGGGCAGACCTCGCGCTTGCTGTGCCTACAGGAGGTGGCTCAGATGTGACAGCGAAGCCTCCCCCCAGCCCCGCCGTTACTCAGAGCAGCTCCTACCGTGCTCACAGCTGGTGCCGTAGTACCCGGCCGGGCAGGAACAGGCTCCCTGCACTGGCTCACAGGAACCACCGTTCTGGCACTGGCATTTCTGGGTGCAAGAGTCCCCATAGAAACCGCTGGCACAAGCTACAGGAGAGAAGCAGAGCTCTCGTCAGGGCCCTCACTACAACAGCGAGCACTCCCACCCCACACTTGCACCCCCGGAGCATTCACAGCACAGGGTGCTGGAGGCTGCTCAGAGAACACAGGCTGACTGTGCCTTGAACAAGGAGCAAGGACTTGAAGTGCTTTGCACCGAGCCCATCTTAAGATGCTCGGGCTGCAATTAAACTCACACTGACAAAAAGAAAAGCACATGGTGTAGGCTTTCCCTTCACTGCTCCCTCTTGGGAAGGCACCCACCACTGCCAGCAGCCAGCCCTGAGGAAGCAGTTCACACTCTCCTCTCGCTGTCAAGAAGTGAAGTGGAAGTTAGCATTACCTTCACTGCAGTCCCTGCCAGTCCAGCCAGCGTCACACAGGCATCCAGCTGTGCAAACACACAAAAGCAGGCATTAACAACAATAGCAAAAGACTCAGAAACAGCAGGAACTCAAAATTAGGAGCCTCTGCTTCTTGGGGTGCCCTCTTAACTCTCTCTGCCAGGGAACCCATAGAAGACAAATCATGAACCCACTACAGTTGCAAGGACAGCAGAACCTCCTGCTGATGGCATTTCAAGGGATTAACTCTGGGTCAGTTATTAGCAACACCTGCAGCCACTGAGCTCTGCCCAGTAACTTCATTGCTGCAAACTTGACAGTCAGTTGAATTAGGGTGGTAGCACAGGAAGAGGATTGAGCAGGCATGGAAGAGCTGAAGCTGGGGTGTGCACATCGCAGCAGTTCCTAGATTTGAAATGTTTATGGAAGAGCAGCAACTGCATACTTGTAAAGCTCATGAAACAGAAGAGTCAAGTAAAGAAGGAAAAATAAGGGAAGGGGGCAGAACTCAGCTGCTCTGTCATACAGCCCAACACACTGCCCATCCCATCAGCAGCTTTACAACCAAACCAGGAGCACAACCCCAGTCAGCCGAGAGGGAAACAGGCACAGAGTTCGAAGTCAAGTCCTATTACAGATCTGGTTTCCAGCCCTGAGCCCCAGCCTAGCCCTGCTGCTGTCTCCTAAGGAAAACGTGTTCTGACCGCCTCTATGGGGAGGGAAGGGGAGAGCAGCTCCGTGCACCCAGAAGGGCTGAGGCACACAGCTGGCTGCCGGAGTCAGCGCATGGGCTGGCCAGACAATCAGCAGCTGCAGCCCTACAAGGCTGGGAAGCCTCTCCAAGGGTGCTGCTCTCTGCTAGTGCCAGTTCATGGGAGCCACACTCCTTCACACTGAAATGGGCAGGGACGCTGTGAACCAGCTGGGCCTGTGCCCAGTGAAGTGCTGAGGGGCCACCATGGTGCCTTGCAGGCAGGCAAGTGATACTGCCCATGGATGTACTGCCCAGGGCCATGTTTCTCCTAGAGCCACCCAGGGGCACCTGCTGGCATCTCAGTTAAAGGCCTCTGTGCACCACAGGGACTCACAGCTGGTGCAGATGCCGTGCAGGCTGCAGTTGGAAGGGCCGCAGTCCAAGGTGTCACAGGCTGGACCTGTCCAGAAGGTGCTGGTGCAGTGACATTCCCCTTCCACGCAGGCACCGTGGCCACCACAGTCAGCCGGCTCGCAGACGGGCTCATGGATACACATGATGGTTGAGATGCTCCGAGGGCAACGCCACATGTTGTCAAAGGAGCTGGGGACAGAGCATGGGTCACATAAGGCATGCAAGCACTGTGCTGCTCCCAGCCATATGTGAAACCAGTTGATATAACCCACAGATTTTCATCCTGATGCACACTGGCAAACAAGAAAATTAATAATAGGAAAATATAAACATAAAGCTAGGCTTGAGTCAATGTTTTAACCAAGTGTTAACTGCTCTTGGATAGCCGTGATTTCAAACACAGAATTACAGGAAGCAATGTGCAGTTTCCCTTGAAGCAGTCTCAGCTCTCCTAACTGGTGTTCAACATGCCTTGTCTTGAGTATTATCTGCTTTGATATAAGTGACATAATTGCAGTTATAGCAATGCTTGGCTTTCACCTGTCAGACTGCAAACTGAATTTTAAATCCCTTCATGTCTACAGTCAGAAATGACTAAAAAGCTAAATTACTAAATAGTTTAGTAAAATATTCTTTAGGTTCCCTCACATGAGGCAGGGCATGGTCTCTAAGTCAGTATTTCTCTTCCATAATAAAAAGCTGTTGACAGATCTCTGCTAATTCCTGTGAAGGTGCAGCTCTGAACTGTCTCCTTATCTGACTCCCACATTAGTCAGCTTTTGGAGTCCTCTCTCTCCCAAAACTTGTCACTTGACTTCACATTGCAATCTCCCAGCAACGCAGATGGGACTCCCTGGCAGAGCAGAGGGGTATAGGACCGAACTCTGCGCGCTGACGGGAGCCCGATGGTACCTGCACAGCCCTGGGCATGTGCCACCCAGCACCTACCAGTGCTCAGACGGGTAGCTGGCGAGGGTCCCATTTAAGACTAGCGTTGCAGAGCCTCCACCATCCAGGTTGATAGCATTGATGACTCCCTGCTCCTTCAGAAATTCAGCCATTTCCCAGAGGTTGACCCTGCAAAAGCAAACAGTTGTTCCTTGTTTATTCATGCTATTTGACTTCAACAAAACTGCTGCATGGGAAGCTTGGTCCCTCTCCTCAGTGGAAGGGGGAAGCTCTCCCATCCCAGGTCTGCTGACTCGCTGCCTGCAGGCTGCCTTGGCCTTTTCTGGCTCTGCCAGAAAGACACCAAACAGCAGTGTCTTCAACCCACCTCTTGAGCTCTTCAAGCCTCTGCCTTAAAACATATCACTGGCAGCTGCAGTGTCCCTCCAGTTCCAGTGACAGAATTTAAAGACCAATCCTGCACCCATCCCAAGACCTTACCACAACCCTGGCCTTACCCTCTGGATTCTGTCTGTCCATCCACATGAACCAGGACCAGCTGCCCCTGCCTGTCATGTCCAACTGCAGTCCTGGCTGATATCACATTGATGAACTTGTCAAAGGTTCCTGTGCAGGAGAGGGAATAATTCATACACCAGCTGGGTGACATTGGCTGTTTAGACACATCTGTCTGCAAAACAGCTCCCAGCAAGGAGCTCATCTAAACTGAAACACAGTGAGAACAGAGCCCAGGTTCCTCTTGTTCATCCAAGCCCCTCTAGGAATAACATTTCCAGAAGTGCTCTTGTTAAGTTTTTGTCTGGCACAGGGACAAAGAAGGGGATTCAGACGTTTTAAACCCCTGTAAGAGGGATCTGCTTTGAGTTCCTCTAGACAAACACCAATACTAATCCTGCCACAACTATTTACAGTCCTCAGCAAATTCTGTTCAACAACCCTAAACAGGTGAGTGCAGCCTCACCTTACAGGCAGCCTATTCCTTGTACTGCACTTGCCCCAGACTCGGTGTAAAGCAGCACAGAAGAAATTTGGACCTCTTAAGTGAGTAGTAAACTTCAACTAGACAACACAGTTCCCACTGCTACCCCCTCCTTCCAACAGCCCCACCAGAAGGACAATCTATGCCCTGGCTGAAGCCAGGCTTTACAATATTTACCTGTGGTTTGAATTTCATCACACTCAGCCATTTGGCTCTGACTGATATACACTTCTCCATCTCTTAGGAGCCAAACTACCCCACTCACAAGCTGCACAAAAGGGTTTGCTTGATCCAAGACATCTTCCTCAGACAGGTAACTAGGAAAGAGAGAGCAGGAGAGGTTACCCACAGTCACAGCAGGGTCATGTAGAAGCCTCTTCTGCTGCCAGCAGGCTCCCGGAGCAGGGAGAAGGGGAGGCAGTGGCCAAATGAAGGCCAGCTACATACAAAACTAGAGCTCAAGCAGTGCAAAACATCACTTGTAGCAGCCCAAGTGGACCCTGTTCTCTGCTCTTCTACACAAAATCACTGTTAATGGCAGTCCCAGGACACTGTGCATGAAACAACTCCTGCCAACAATGTGGCCAGTGGACCTGAGCCAGGATAATAAGAGCAGAAAGCATCTGGCAGAACATGAGGGCAAAGCCACTGCCAAATACTCAGGGATTTGTGGAAGCAGCTGTAACACCTTGCTGTCTGTCAGCTTCCATTCTGCAAAATAAGTGTCACCAAACTGCTTTTGAGAGGGTTTTCAGCCACAGCATCCAGTCTGCCTACAGCTGCACCAAGGGAAAGACACTGCTGGACACTACCTGGTCCCCTCTGGCTGGAAAAGAGCTTCCTCTGCTCTTCCAGACAGCAAAACCGTTCACTGAACAGTCAGACAGCACAAAGGACTGTTCAGCAACCATTTCCGTGATGGGGCATTGTGCAACACTGTGGGGTGCTTCCCAAGGGATATTCTTCTCTCAGGAATTAGGGTGCTGAGTACCATCTGCCTCATCGGAACCTGACCCTAGGGGATGTTTGCAACTGCCAGGAGAGGACAGCAGCAAAGGCCGGGCTGAACAGCTGCGTTCTCGCTGAAAGCTCTGCCAGTGGCTTTTGGTTTACAACTGACTGCTCTGCATGCTCCAGGCATGTCTTGTGAGAGCCGGATGCTCAACTTTTAGTTTTTTAGTATCCATGACTGCAGCTGAACAAAGCTTCATGCTTTGTAGAAAAGTGTAATTGAAATTACCTGAATGGAAAACATGCAAGAAATCCCTTTACCAGTGGGAAGAGAACACAAAGACAAAACGAACACAGCTGAAAATGGATCAAACTACAAAACAGCGGCAGTTGAGCATGGACTAATCAACTGCCAGCTTTTAAAGCCTGTGATTATCCATCCTCAGTCCAGGTGGTAGAGGCATAATCTTTTCTAGGTGGGGGGTAACAACATGCCCTGGTGCACTGTCCCGCTGCTCATGACACAGTGTGACAGTCAAGTGCAAATTACTTTCCCCACAGACTAAATTACTTACACCTTAACTATTTCTACTGTCATGTTTTGAAAGTCACAAAGACACTAAGCAGACAACTCACACAATGCCACGACTCCATTAACATGGGAAATCCTGCCAGAGCAGGAGAGAAGCAGGGCAGAGCTGAGACAGACTCAAAGGTGACTTTGCAGTTGCTGCTGGTCCCCTCGGTAGAAGACCCCTCACTAGAGAAGACATATCACCAGCTCTGCTATGTAAATCAAGGCTGTGGTTCTCCAGGCTGTCAGAGAATGGCTGCACACTAAAGACCCATCTTGGTACACTTGGTTTGGCTTTGCAGAGACCCATGCTGAGGCCTGAGGGCACATAGGAGTGGGCTAACAGAAGGGTGGGGAATGCAGCAGCTTCCAGACTGCTTCTCAATCTTCTGAGACCATCAGAAGGACCTTGGAGAACCCTTCTAGGACCTTTAGGGTGCCTCCTGCTGCTGGGGAAAGGGAGCTACTGGGGGCCTTCACTCCCAGCAAGCACTAACAGTCCCTCTGTCCACTCATCAAGGGTGCTTTGAGCTTTTGTCTCCAGCTGATGAGGGGGTGTCACACACTCTTTCAGCTGATGCCAGGCAGAAGCCCATATAACCACTGCTGAGACCAGAGCTCCCAGGAGTCAAGAGATACTGCATGTGGTGAGGAGCTGGAGCTTCTGCAGAGGGCACAGCAGACACCTTGATTCTGCTCAAGCTGAGGAGGCAGAGGGCAGTGCTCCAGCTCTCAGGCTGCAGGGATACCTGTGCCTCTCTCTGGGGCCAGGGGAAAGGGTGTCCTAGTGCATGCTGGCTGGGGAGTGACACTGCTGGGCCAAGGAGCTACAGGAGGAGTTCTGCACAGTAGGGATGATGAGAAAGAGGTGGACAGGTCTTCCCTAATAGCCTGCAGAAACAAAACCCTGAACCCCCCAATGCCCAGAAGGAGCAGCCAGGATTTGCACAGTGGGGTGGTAAATCCTGTGATGATGAAGGCTGGAAGACTCTGAGCTCTGGCACCAGGAGGGTTCTTCCTTCCACTCGGGTTCAGTGCCTTGGCAGCAGGCAAGGGGGTGGGGGCTCTGTGAAACAAAAGCATCTGTGCCAGCTGAGCCTGAACCCTGCAGCAGAACCTGAGGCGGTGGGTGAGTGTAGGGGGAAGCTCCCTGCTGTGGGGGCAGAGGTCCCCATCTGCTCATCTGTCGAGCTGGGGGCTCAGATCTGGGATGACATGAGAAGACCAGTGAGGCTTCTCCAGCCCCCAGCCTGCCATCCCCTGCTGCTCTTCCACACGGGCACAGCAGCACTGCCAGGGGAAAACAGGACCGTATCAAGAGCAACTGCAGAGCTCTAAGGGGAGGAGGGTGGCCCAGGTGCTCCTCTCCTCAGTCCTGCCAGGGAGGAGGAAGGGCTTGAGAAGCAGGGGATGGATTCTGTGGGTCAATGTGCAGTAGCACAGCTGGTGTTGACAACAAGGATTTGGCTTTTACAAGGACAGAAACCTCTCTGAGAAATGAGGACCCGACCAAGTGAGGCAAAAGTAACTCTGTAAATAGGTGAGCTGTTGAGGAATGGTTTAGACGAGGAATGGCACAGGATGGAGATGATCGGCCCCAGTCAAGTGAGGAAGCGGTGGAGCAGGCTGACAAGCGAAGGCTGCAAGGTGATGCGATGGCTGGAGGGCACAGCAATCAGACAATGAGAATTTTCAATTCTTGGGGAAGGAGTGAGGTCAGCAGAACCGCTATCCTGGACTTCTGGAGGGCAGACTTTGGCCTTTTTTAGGAGCCCAGTTGCCAGAGTCCCTTGGGAGGCAGTCCTGAAGGGCAGAGGAGTCCAGGAAGGCTGGACATTCTTCAAGAAGGAATTTTAAAGGCAAGGGAGCAGGTCATCCCCATGTGCCAAAAGATGAGCTGGCGGGGAAGAAGACCGACGAATAGAGAACTTCGGCTGGAACTCAGGACAAAAAGGAGTTGATGAGCTTTGGAAGAAGGGGCAGGCAACTCAGGAGGACTACAAGGATGTCATGAGTGTATGCAAGGAGAAAATTAGAGGAGTCAAAGCCCAATTAGAACTTAATCTGGCTACTGCTGTAAAAGGCAATGTTTCTATAAAACCATTAGCAACAGAAGGAGGGCTAAGGATGATCTCCATCCTTTACTGGATGCTGGGGGAAACACAGTGACAAAGGACAAGGAAAAGGCTGAGGTACCTAATGCCTTCTTTGCCTCAGTCTTTAAGAGTAGACCAGTTGTCCTCTGGGTACCCAGCCCCCTGAGCTGGAAGACAGGGATGGGGAGCAGAATGAAGCCCCCATGATCCAAGGGGAAATGGTTAGTGACCACTTAGACACACACAGGTCTATGGGGTCTGTTGGGATCCACCCATGGGTACAGCAGGAGCTGGCAGAAGTGCTCACCACGGCACTTTCCATCATTTACCAGCAGTCCTGGCTAACCAGGGAGGTCCCAGGTGACTGGAGGTTAGAAAAGATGACACCCATCTACAAGAAGGGCTGGAAGGGGAACTACAGGCCTGTCAGTCTGACCTCGGTGCCAGGGAAAGTTATGGAGCAGATCACCTCGAGTGCCACCACATGGCACGTACAGGACACCCAGGTGATCAGGCCCAGCCAGCCATGGGTTTATGAAAGGCAGGTCCTGCCTGACTAACCCAATCTTCTATGACAAGGTGACCCCATTACTGGATGAGGGGAAGGCTGTGCATGTTGTCTACCTAGACTTTAGTAAAGCCTTTGACACTGTTTCCCACAGCATTCTCCTGGAGAAACAGGCTGCTCACGGCTTGCACAGGCGTACGCTTTGCTGGGTAAAAAACTGTCTGGGTGGCCAAGCCCAAAGAGTGGTGGTGGATGGAGGTAACTCCAGTTGGCAGCTGGTCACACGCGGTGTTCCCCAGGACTTAGTACTGGGGCCAGTTCTGTTCAAGATCTCTATCAGCGATCTGGACGAGGTGATCGAGGGCCCCCTCAGTAATTTTGCAGATGACGCCAAACTGGGTGGGAGCGTTGATCTGCTGGAGGGCAGGAAGGCTCTGCAGAGGGATCTGGGCAGGCTGGAGCAATGGGCCCAGGCCAGTTGTATGAGGTTCAACAAGGCTCAGTGCCGCGTCCTGCACCTGGGTCACAACAACCCCTGCAACACGACAGGCTTGGGGACAAGTGGCTGGAAAGCTGCCCAGCAGAAAAGGATCTGGGAATGTTGGTTGACAGCCAGTGGCAGCATGCCCAGGTGGGCAAGAAGGCCAATAGCATCCTGGCTTGTATCAGGAGTAGTGTGGCCAGCAGGACTAGGGAAGGGACCGTCCCCCTGTACTTGGCACTGGTGAGGCCACATCTCAAATACTGTGTTCAGTTTTGGGCCTCTCACTACAGGAAGACATTGAGGTGCTGGGGTGTGTCCAGAGAAGGGCACCGAAGCTGGTGAAGGGTCTAGAGCACAAGTCTTGTGAGGAGCTGCTGGGGGAACTGGGGGTGTTTAGTCTGGAGAAAGGAGCCTGAGGGGAGACCTTATGGCTCTCTACAGCTACCTGAAAGGAGGTTGTAGCGAGGTGGGGGTTGGTCTCTTCTCCCAAGTAACAAGTAACACAAGAGGTTTAGATTAGGAAAAGTTCTTCACTGAAAGGGTTGTCAAGCACAGGAACAGGCTGCCAGGAAAGTGGTTGAGTCATCATCCCTGGAGGTATTTAAAAGACGTGTAGATGTGGTGCTCAGGGACATGGTTTAGTGGTGGGCTTGGCAGTGTCAGGTTAACGGTTGAACTCAACGATCTTAAAGGTCTTTCCTAACCTAATCGATTCGATGATTCTGCCTAGTCACTGACCACAAACTAGCTGAGGGTTTACAGGTTAGGATTAGAGCTCTGGCAGATCAATGTAGGTCACATCATGGTGGGTGTTTGCTACAGACTGCCTGCTCAGGAAATGGCAGAAAAGACCTTCAGAAAACTGGGAGAAGCTTCATGTTAACAGACACTGGCACTTAAGGGAAACAATCCTGGTATCTTGCTAAAAGAGCAACACAGCTGAGCACAGGCAACACAGGAAATTCCTGGATTTCTACTTAACAGTAAGTAACTTAATATAAGACAAAGATTTTTACTGTAAAGGGTTGCCAATCACAGGAACAGGTTTGCCCGGAGAGGTGCTAGAGTCTCTGTCCTCGGAGATGTTAAAAACCTGACTGGACATGGCCTTGAGCAACCTGCTCCAGCTAACCCTGCGCTGAGCACGTGGTTGGATGAGGCAGCTCCAGAGGTCCCTTCCAACCCCAGTGTTTCTGTACTGCAGCCAGAGCAGTTATAGTCTGCTCTGCCTCTCCTCTGTGCGGGCGACAGAGACCTCTCCCCCTTTCCTTTTACCATAATCAAGGGTAGCTGTTGCATGTCAGAAGCAGAGACACAGGAATCTAAGCAGCCAGAGAACAGAGTGACTTATCTGGCAGCGGCCAGAGGGACAGCTCAATAGCCTACAGGTAGGACATCGCTGATTTCAGCACTCAAAGCCTGCTCCTGCTCTAACTGGGAGAGGCCAAGGTGGCAGTGCCTGGGCAGCGCCTCCCGCCTCAGTAATGCCTACTGGTCTTTGGGGAGGAGAGAGCATTCTCCACACAAGCCGCAAGTTCTTACCCGAACACCATGGTGCCATCCTTCCGGATGCCAAACTGAGCGTTTTGCAGGCCTCCAGAGTTTCTCACCAGCTTTCCATCGCTCACAACATTCCCAAGGCACTCTCCAGTTCCCATGTCAAAGTACCCGCCGTTCTGGGCCACCAGACACTTCCCGAGCTTTGCGGTCTCTTCCACAGGGGCTCTGCGGTGAGCCTGGCAGCCTCCCGCGCCGCCCGGCTCCAGCACAGAGAACGTCCTCAGGGGGTTCCTCACAAAAGTGAAGTGGCCATAGACCACCTTGTGGTCCTTCCCCCCTGGGGGGATGTAAGAAACAAACGTTCTGGTGGTAGCCACTGGGCCACTCGTCCTGTTGTCGCTGGGCCAAGCTTCGTGCGTTACGTTGCCGTACTTGAGGGGCTGACAGTCTCTGACGTGCCTGTGGTGGTGCCGAGGGCCGTGCCCGGAGGGGAAATAGGGCTGCAGGAGGGGGTCGCTGGGGGGGCCCCTGCAATGAGAAGATCCGGTTGCCCCAAGGCTGCCCTGGCGGAGCAGCCAGCGCTGCGCGGCGGGACGGGACGGGACGGAGCTGCTCGGCTGGGGACGGCTCCACCGACAGCCCGGGCCCCGCTTCTTGCCTGCCCCCGGGGACTCCCCGGTACCGCCGTAACCCTCCCCGGCTTAAGGCGGGCCGTCCCGCTTAGTACCCGCACCACCCGGCCGACCTCGGGGCGCCGGCTCGGCGGCGCCCGGCCAGAGCCGCAAGGC